AAAGTTTAGCTAAATCAGAAAGCAGGTCTAATTAAGCAAGTTTATGCTATATCTATAAAAGGCCAAGTTGACTTGCACAAGTGAGATACATATAAAGCTCTCGCTGGTGCCAATAATACATGAGTATTTCCATCTGTCATTGTTGATTGTGAATTTGGTTGACACTTCTACTACAGAGAAAGGGTGAATAGCGATATAAAATATTTCTTCTAATTAATTTCCTTTCAATGTGCACAAATTTGTGCACCAGGCCACTAGTGTTGTTCCCAGTTTCCCCCATATAAACCACTACAATAAGCATCTTTGTATATATTGTTGCCTACTTGTGCATATGCTAATACATATGTAAGATACATTCCTAGCAGTGAAATTAGGTAAAAGTATATGTATATTAAATTAAAATTTTTTGTTCTTCATTACTTATGAGATACGAAAAGACACAAAGAATAAGAACAGCTTGGAAAACAATACTGTCAACACACATAAATGTTCATCTGGTTTTGGCCCTCCTGTTCCACCCTGAGGGTGCCAGGAGCCTGAATTTGGAAATTATTTCTTCCTCATGAAATGCTTTGAATGATTTTACATAAATGGTACTTTGCTGTACATAGTACTTGGCTGTATATATTTTTCATGCTTAGACCTGAGGATATGCCAAGAGAGAGACAGAGAGAGAGAGACAGAGAGAGAGACAGAGACAGAGAGAGAGAGAGAGAGAGAGAGAGAGAGAGAGAGAGAGAGAGAGAGAGAAGATAGAAGATCAGTTGCCTTCTGTATGTGTCCCGACTGGGGATCAAACCTGCAACCCAGGTATGAGCCCTGAACAGGAATCCCACCGGCACCTCTCAGTGCACAGAATGACACTCAACCAACTGAGCCACTAATATCCTTTTGTATATCTCTTGGCTATACATATGTGGAGGGATTTCTTTAGAGTATTTGCATAGAGGGGAATGGCTGGTTCATAGAATATGAAAATCTTCAGCGATATTAGAAATATTCTCCAAAGTGGTTTTACACTCTTACTTGCAGTCAGTTACTCCATATTCTCACCAACTTGGTATTGTACAACCTTTTATTTATTTATTTAGAAATATGTTTTTATTGCTTTTTAGGGAGAGTGGAAGTGAGAGGGGATAGAGAGAATCATGGATCTCCTGCCTCTTGCAGGTCCCATAGTGGGAAAGGATGGACATGTGCCCTGACCAGGAATGGGAATCGAACCAGTGACCACTGAGCCACACCAGCCGGGCTGCATTCTTATTTCTTTAGTTGAATGTTACTAATGCTTGAATAAGTATTATTCAAGGTAGTGTCCGGCGTGTCAGGCATAGAGCCTGAGGGGAGGTTATTAGGTGAGGAAATGGAAGCTCCAGAAAGCTAACGTGTGCCAAGCCTAATGGTTGAGCATTATCCTATGAACCAGGAGGTCACGGTTCGACTCCTTGTCAGGGCATAATGCCTGGGTTGCAGGCTCATTCTCCAATCGTGCAGGAGGCAGCCAATCAATGATTCTCTCTCATCATTGATGTTTCTATCTCTCTCTTCCTCTCCCTTACTCTGAAATCAATAAAAATATATTAAGAAAGAAAGAAAGGGAGAGAAAGAGAAAGAAAGGAAGAAAGAAAGAAAATTACTGTTAAGAAAGAGAAAGGAAGCAAGAAAGAAAATTAGCTCACTCCCCAGCCCAGCTTTTCAGGGTACACTAATTGTTCTACTATGATTAGGCTCAATTAGGGAGGACTTGGCTTTAATAAGGAGATTTATCAGGAGAACCATCTAACCAGAGAGTAAAATTGAGACATATTTTTAAATCAATTGCCAGCTCAATAATGAAACTTCACATTTCTATGTTTTCATGTTAACTGGCTGACGTAGTCCTTCCAGGAGAACAGAGGGAAATGGACAGCAATTGTAACTGGACACTATTGAAAAACATAAGGCAACTTAATAGTTCTGTTAATTCCTAAAGGAATGTTTGACACAGACACCGGTCAGGATTCCATTTCCCCTTCTTGATTTGGTAGAATTTGGATGACACTGAACTTACTCTCTGCTCGTTTTTTCACTCAACAGCTGTTTACTGACCTCACACTTGGTGACATTTTGCTAAGAGCTGAGAGTGGTGAGCGGAGCAGACCCAGGTCCTACCCTCATGGGGCCTGCAGTCTAGTGGAGAGGATAATCAAGAAACAAGTCCAGCCGAAACCGGTTTGGCCCAGTGGATGGAGCGTCGGCCTGCGGACTGAAGGGTCCTGGGTTAGATTCCGGTCAAGGGCATGTACCTTGGTTGCAGGCACATCCCCGGTGGGGGGTGTTGCAGGAGGCAGCTGATCAATGATTCTCTCTCATTGATGTTTTTAACGCTCTGTCCCTCTCTCTTCCTCTCTGTAAAAAATTAATATATTTAAAAAAAAAGACCTGAAGGCATTTAAGGAGAATATAAACCAGAGTTCCATCCAGAACTAACAGGAAAAATCCTACCTTGTCTGCTGCCTTTCACGGTAAAGCAGCTTCTGCCCAGCAGGTTGCAGAACTGCTTTCTGCCTCCTACCCCGACTCCACTTCCCACAGCCAGCCCTCCGAGGCCCTGGGAGCAGAGCATGGCTTCACCGCTGTCTGCCCAGCAGACATCTCTCGAAGGAGGTTCTTCAGTTCACACACACCTTGTACTTTGGAGTTGGAGGCATGATGAGAGTGGCAGGCTTTTAGGACTGTGATTTGATGATCCTGGTCAGGAATTACCACCCCTCTCCCAGGACTTTGGGGGGACTTTTAGTTCCTTTGTTTTGCTTTAAATTATCTATATTTGTTATTTTCTTAATCAAAACACCATTAACAGACTTAAAATTTTGATGATAATTCTTAGAACTCACCTAAGCCCTCAATCCACATTCAAATTTCCAGTTCTTTTCTTTGGACTTGAAGAAGGCATCTCTCTAAAACCAATTTTTTAGAAGTTTTTAGTGTTGCTCCTCTTTTTTCCTACATTTCCTCGTTTTCAAAAAAGTAACGTATAGCTCTAGACAATTCCCAGCTATTTGTCTGGTCCCCTGTAAGAGAGAGTTCACTTTTCAGGGAGAAGGAATAAAGAAAAACCAGCCGGAAGTGCATCTGATGTAAATATATAGCAATCTTGACTCCGTTAAGTTGGTGTTTGGGGGCCATCTGGTGGCTAGAAGGGTTTTAACACAAACTGGGTCTTCTTGTTGCCCTCTCGTGGCGAGAGGTGGTGTGACACCCTAGGAATCCTTTCCCTGCCTTGTTAAGGATTACAGAAATAAAGATTCAGATCAGGAAGGAAGGGAGTTAACAGCGAACGTTTTCTTAACACCCATAAAGCAGAGGGGGCTCAGAGATGAGGCAGAGAAGACAAACAATAGCATGGCAATTGCAGTCGTGACTGTTACCTGCAGGATATTTAAGAAAACACCAAATATGAAATTCAAATGGACAGTTTTGTGTAGAGTGGGGTGTGAATATGTGCTGTCAGTCTCAATTATTATTTTATTTAAAAATGTTTTTATTGACTTTATTTTTAAAATTTTATTTATTAATTTTTTTTAGAGAGAGAGAGAAAGAGAGAGAGAGAGAACTTGTTGTTCCACTCATTTATACATTCATTGGTTGATTCTTGTATGTTCCCTGACCAGGGTTGGAACCCACAACCTTGGAATGGTGTTCTAACCAACTGAGCTACCCGGTCAGGGCACAGTTATTATTTTAATATCTTTATTCTGTGCCTGAATCACAGAATTTTAGAGCTGGAAAGGATCTGAGACATCAGTCAACAAAATTGTATCGAATGTTTACTTTTAGCCTCTGTACTGAGTGTTGTTAGGGATGACTTAGATACGTTAAACCTTGTCTTCAAAGAATTAAAATGTAGAGGTAAAGATGGGTAAATGAACAAGCAAATACCACGTGGTGTGCAATAATAGTGGAAGAGCAGGCGTGCTGTGAGGACGGAGGTGCAGAATGGCCACCTCTACCTGGAGGTCAGCGGAGGCCTGAAAGGGAGGAGGCAGCACCTGCTCTGTGTCTGGCAGAACAGAGCGTTTCCAGGTGGGCTGGGGAGGGGGCAGAGGGAAGAGGTAGGCTCAGCAGCTGTAAAGCACACACACAGGGAGGCAGGATGTGGCACTGAGTGTCCAGCTACTGCGAATATGGCTGCAGCATATGGTGTGAGGTGCATAGTAGATGGTCTGTAAATCCCTGCTGAATGAAAATGAATAACTGATGATGGGGGGGAGTGGTGAGAGAGGAGGGTGAAGAAGTTATGTGGGTGGCAGATCATAACACTAAGGAATGTCAATGTAGAAGAGGTGAGGGAGAGTACAGTGGAGGTTATAAGCAGCAGTTACAGAATCAGGTTTCTGTTTTAAGTTTGATTTAAAACATTCCTTCCTTAATGTTCCCATTTCCACTGTCTTAGACCTTCATCATTGTTCACTGAATTATTACAGTACCCTAATTAGTTCTCTGTCTTCTTCTGTTACCAAAATGATTTTTTCTGCCATTATTTACCCTCCCACCCCCCAAAAAAATGATTTAAAATATATTTTTATAGATTTTAGAGAGGAAGGGAGAGGGAGATAAAAACATTGATGAGAAACATTAACTGGCTGCCTCCCGCACACCCTGTACTGGGTATCAAGCCTGTAACCCTGGCCTATGCTCTGATTGGGATGAGAACCAGTGACCTTTTGGTTCATGGGTCAATGCAACCACCAAGCCATACCAACTGTGCCAGATTTTTAAAAAAATATGTTTTATTGATTTTTTTTTTTTTTTTTTACAGAGAGGAAGGGAGGGGGATATAGTCAGAAACATCGATGAGAGAGAAACATCAATCAGCTGCCTTCTACACACCCTCTACTGGGGATGTGCCCACAGCCAAGGTACATGCCCCTGACCGGAATCGAACCTGGGACCCTTCAGTCTGTAGGCTGACGCTCTAACCACTGAGCAAAACCGGTTTCGGCAAGACTTTTTTTTTCTTCTTGAGATAATTTCTAAGATCTACTCTCTTAGCAACTTCCTGTTAGCTCTCAGCGAAGGAGAGTGCTTAGCTGAATTGCATTGAATGAATTCAGTTTTAATGAAACAGATTTCCTATATACTGAAGCTGAAAGGCAACCATCTCAGCTTGAGCTGTCATAGATGGACTGACTCCTTGAAATGAGGCCACACTACTGAATATGACAGTGCTCACCAGGTAGCTACTGACATCTAGTGACCTGAGGATCACTCCCCAAAATTAAAATATAAAATGCACTAAGAATGGGTATTGATTTTTATTCCCCAGAGAGTATGCACAGAAAAAGACCTTATGGGTATTGTACCTCAGTAAATTAAATTTACTAAAGTTAGTGACAATAATATTTGGAGATTACTAGCGTTAGATAGACTTCCTATTTGTTTAGAGCAACAGGAACATAATGTGAGCCACTTAAGTCATTCTAATAGCCACATTAAGAAAGGTGAAAAGAAAAGATGAAATCTACCTTAATGATACATTTTACTTAGTCTAATATATCTCAAATATTATAATTTCAATATGTAATCAATGAAATTATCAATGAGATACATTCCATCCTTTTTTCCTCAAAATAAGTCTTTGAGATCCAGTGTGTAGTTTACATTACTGCATACCTCAGTTCAGACCAGCCACACACGGCTACTGACAACGATAGTAGAGGCCCTCTCCTGGCAAGCAGGCTCTGAGGAGGTGGAAGAGGAAGACATGGATGAGTTGCCAGGCTCCTTTAAAAAGGAGCAGTGCCTGTGGCAGTCTTTGCTCAGTGACAGATACCTTTTTCCCACCTGGGATTCTGAGGATGATAAGAACAAAGAGAAGGTTAAAGATACCTGCCCTCTGCTCACTCAACATCTCTGAGCTCCTTGGGATTTGCACATGCATTTAGTTCCACCCAATAAACATCTGCTATCTGCCGTCTTCTTGCATATCTTTTGATGACATTTAATTTCATACCCACAGGTTTAGTTTTTTTCTTGGTTCTTTGTGCCAGTTTCCAAAAGTGGAAAATTATTTTCTTCCAGGATAAAAATATGTGAATGAAACTAGGATATACTTTGCAGGGAAGATAAATATAACACCCAGTCTTTGAGACAAGGATAATAACAGGGCTGTGTGGATATAAATTTGATAGTTACCTTCAGGGCATAAGATTGCTGCTGGGTGACAGCCAGACTGACTGTAAGTTTTGGGCATACATTATTCCTTGTTCCAGATTCTAAACTACATTGTTCCAAAGCATAGAGGCAAAAGAAAAGGAAAAAAAAAAAGGCAACACAATCCACATGGCTCCAAACCCACATAATGAAAACCATGAACACAAGGGGTGCTTATCATTCTGTGCACTTCCAGGATATCTTGGATTTGCTTAAAAAAACTGTTGTTCAGGAAGGAGTGGGTGGGAATACGGAGGAAACAAGATTGGGTACAAGTTGAAGTTGAATGATGGCACACGGGAGTTCATACATTCTCTCACTTTTGCATAAGCTTGAAACTCACTTGAAATGCCACCAGCTTTCCATTATAAAGTTCCGTTAAATATTACTTCTATGTGTACTTCCCATAATTTACATAAGATCACAGTGAACTTGTTTTGTAACAAGTGCTTTCCACTCAAAAGTACATTTAGTCTCTTATTTATAAGCCTTTTAGTTGTTTCCAATTTAACTAATATTATCAAGCTTCTTGCACATGAGCCTCTTGATTTGTATTACTGCTGACTCAAAGGAATGCATATTTAATATTTTGACACATTACCAAACTGCACTTAAGAAAGGTTGAACCTATCTAATCTCATATCTAAGCCAACACCAAGCTTTGTTAATTAGCTTTGCTAACACAATGAAAATATGTTATTTCATTGTTCAGATTATTTGTATTTCTTAACTGTCGAGAATAAAAATATTCTTATATGCTTATTAGCCATTTGTAGTGCTTGTTCATGTTCTCTACCAGATTGTCTGTTAAGGTGATGAACCTTTTTATTGATATACTAGAGGCCTGATGCACAAAACTCGTGCAAGGGCGTGGCCCTTCAGCGCTGCCTGCCTCGGCCCTCCCAGCCCCGGCTTCATTCAGAAGGTCATTCTGCTGTTCAGCCATCTGGTCTAATGGGCATATTACACTTTTATTATTATAGATAATAGCTCTTGGCATAGTAATGACACGTACCTATTGTCATATATGTTGCAAATATTCTCTTGGGCTATTGCTGCCACTTCAATTATGGTGTATGTGTGGGTGTTTTCCCCTACCATGTAGTAATTTTTAATATTATGTAACCTAAACTTCAATATTTTGGGGCTTTGGAATCATGTTTAAAAAGCCCTTTCTCACTGAAACCGGTTTGGCTCAGTGGATAATGCGTCGGCCTGCGGACTGAAAGGTCCCAGGTTTGATGCAGGTCAAGGGCATGTACCTTGGTTGCCGGCACATACCCAGTAGGGGGTGTGCAGGAGGCAGCTGATCAATGATTCTCTCATTGATGTTTCTAACTCTCTATCCTTCTCTCTTCCTCTCTGTAAAAAAAATCAATAAAACATATTTAAAAAAAAAAAAGTCCTTTCTCGATACAGGACTATGAAACTATTTATTCCAATATTCACTTATTCTTAGCTTACCTTTTCATTATTAAAATGCTGTTGTAAAATGTGAACATTATAATATTTAACATAGACTATTTCTTGTAATTTTAACCCCACAGATAAACACCATTAATAATTTATATTTATAGCCCTAGCTGGTTTGGCTGAGAGGATAGAGCATCAGCCTGTGGACTGAGGGTTCTAGGTTTGATTCCAGCCAAGGGCACATGCCCAGTATGGGGTGTGCAGGAGGCAGCTGATCAATGATTCTCTCATCATTGATGTTTCTATTTCTCTGACTCCTTCCCTTCTTCTCTGAAATAAAAATAAAAAAAAATGTTAAAAAATGTTTGCTGAGAATCGGACTTCAATTTTTAAAAATATATTCTATTGATTCCTTACAGAGAGGGAGAGGGAGAGCCAGAAACATCGATGAGAGAGAAACATCGATTAGCTGCCTCTTACACACTTCCTATGGTTATGTGCCTGCAACCAAGGTACACACCCTTGACCGGAATTGAACCTGGGACCCTTGAGTCTGCAGGCCGACGCTCCATCCACTGACCCAAACTGGTTATGGCCAGACTTCAATTTTTACATGTAAGTCATAAATCCATTTGGAATATTTTCTGGGATGGTGAATAAGGTAAAGATCTATTTTTCTCCCACAAATCTAGCTGGTTGTCCTTAAATACTTTATTGAATTAATATTTTTTGATTGACCATATATAAAATATGCTAAATACTCCTGTATATACTCAGGATTGAATTCTATACCATGACTGTTTATTCCTACTCTATTACCATCCTATGTTTATTATTCTTGCTTTACAATATGCTTTGGTATCTGATCATATAGTTCCCTTTTATGAATTTCCCCTCTATTTTCTTGGCATTTTAATATTTTTGTTTCTCTGAGTGAATTTTGGAGGAATTTTGCTTAGTTTCAAAGCAAGAAAACAATTAAAAAAATCTCTTAAACTCTATTGGAACTAAGATCAGAATTGTGCTAAATTTGTGGACTAATTTAGTGAGAACTGATGAATAGATTATAGAGTAACAAATTTCAAAATAAGTCATAGAAGAAACAGAAATAATGTTGATTTAGTGAAATATAATAAGGATTTTTTTGGGTAGTAAATGACAAAAATCCAGATAAAACCCAAGTTTAAGCATAAAAGAGCTTATTAAATCATTTAACTGAGAAGTCCAGTGGTAAAGCTTTAGGCAAGCCCAGATCCCTGGACTCAAATAACATCCAGGTTGGCTTTTTTAGCTTCAATTATTGATAAACTTCCATGTGACAGCAAAGGTGGCCTGTCTGTTCCATGCTTCTTCAGCAACATCAGAAACAGAGTCTTTTTCTTTATCTGCCGATGAACGTACCAAGATGGTTGTCACTGACCGCATCTGGATCGAGTGCAGAAGTGGGGGTAGGTGAGAAGGTGGGAGTCAGGAGGACTGGAACCACAAAAGCTACAGTTGGGGAGGGGCACCTGGTTGAAAGGAAGTGACTGTTGAATAATCAAACAAAATACATAAGTTACATACTACAATATAATATCCATTTACTTATAAAAAGAGGATTTTAAAGAAGCATTAAAGAATATTACTGCCGAAACCTGTTTGGCTCAATGGATAGAGCGTCGGCTTGGGGACTGAAAGGTCCCGGGTTCGATTCCAGTCAAGGGCATGTACCTTGGTTGCAGGCATACCCCCAGTAGGGGGTGTGCAAGAGGCAGCTGATCGATGACTCTCATCGATGTTTCTAACTCTCTATCTCTCTCCCTTCCTCACTGTACAAAATCAATAAATAATATTAAAAAAAAAAGAATATTACTAAGTTTAAATTCTAATACTATTTTTCAGCATAGTAAAAGTTACTTTGGGGCTGCCCTGGTGTGTCTTAGTGGTTGAGCATGACCTATGAACCAGGAGGTTAAGGTTCATTCTGGTAGGGGCACAAAGCTTGGTCTCTGATGGGGGTGTGAGTGGTGGTGGTGGTGGTGGTGGGGGCGGGCGCAGCCAATCAATGATTCTCTCTCATCAGTGATGTTTTTTTTGTCTCTCTCTCCCTCTCCCTTCCTCTCTGAAATAAATTTTAAAAAATCCTCTATATAATAAAAGCCTAAATGACCATTGCGGCAGAACAACCAGTCGCTATGATGTGCTCTGACCACCAGGGGGCAGATGCTCAATGCAGGAGCTGCCCCTGGCAGTCAGTGTGCAGAAGCTGGGCTCACGGCTGGCGAGCACAGTGGCAGCAGCGCTAAGGAGCAGTGAGATGAGTGGTAAGGAGCAGTGAGCAGGCAGGCAGTAAGGAACAAAGGCCTCTGGACTGTGTGAGGATCCTTAACTGTGAGAGGGCAGAGGCTGGGCTGAGGGTGTCCCCCACCCAGTGCATGAATTTCGTGCTCCAGGCTCTAGTGTATATGTGTGTGTGTGTGTGTGTGCGCGTGCGCATCTTTTTTTTAAAGAACTCTTTAAATAATAGTAAAATTAGTGAACCATTGACTGTATCTAGCTGACAGAGGTGTTTTGTTTATTCTGTTTAATACTCTTAAAAATATGGTGTTTTGTCCTGTCTGAGTAGTTCAGAGTATCATCCTGATATGCCAAGGTTGCTGGTTCAATTCCTGAGCACATATAAGAATCCATAAATGAATGTAAAAATAAGTGGAACACGAATCTCTCAATCTCTCTCTCCCACTCTTTACAAAAAAAAAAAAAAAAAAAAAATCATTAAGTTAAAAAAAATATGGTGGTCTTGTTTTTCATGGGAAAAAAATAAAAAAATCTGGCAACACTGAGTCCTCATTCCTGCAAGAACTGGCTGAACTTTAGATGAGACATCTAAACTATCACTCTATTCTGTCACTCCTTATGTTTTTTTTTTTTTTAAATATATTTTATTGATTTTGTACAGAGAGGGAGAGAGATAGAGATTTAGAAACATCGATGAGAGTCATTGATCAGCTGCCTCTTGCACACCCCGTACTGGGGATATGCCCGCAACCAAGGTACATGCCCTTGACCAGAATTGAACCCGGGATCCTTCAGTCCTCAAGTCGACGCTCTATCCATTGAGCCAAACCGGTTTCGGCTGTCACTCCTTACGTTCCTACATTTAGTCTATTCACTTGTGAAACCTTCTTAGTCTCTAATTTAGGTATTTGAGCCTGCAATCTCTGGCCTATATTACAGAATGCTAGTACGGGAAGAGATAATAAGAGGTCATCTTGTCTAGCAGGCTCCTTCCTCCTCTCTTTATCCTCTAAGAAATTGAGATCCAAAGAATTTACACACCTGACAAATTTTATACAGCTTATGCAAACTGGATTCTTTCATATGCCATTAGCCCCCTTCCTCATATCCTAATATAGGTCTGAGGTTAAAATTTTTCAGGTTCAAGGTCTCTGTGCTTAAAACTCTTGCTTTATCAGGCACTGAGGCTGAGACCTTAACCAGGTAAACTAGGCTCTAAGTGAGGCCACTTGCCTGTGAAGTTCTAGATTATGAATCTTAAGTATCTGTCCCTAATCTTCCCAACCTCACTTTCTATTGCTTACCTGCATATATCTCATATTCCTGGGATGTGTATGTGTGTATGTATATGTGTATGTTATTCAAACATACCCTATGGTTTCTAACCTATTTGATTTGTGTTATTCTCTCCACATAGATTACCCTTCTCCAATCTCTGCCTGACATAATTTTTCCCATCCTGTAAAGTCTACTTGAATACCATCTCGTCATAAAGTTTGGTAGTTAAGAAGGTAGTCTGCATGAAACAGACTTGGTTTGAAATCCAGGCTCTGCCCTTTACTTGCCATGTGATGTTGGACAATTTATCTAATCTCTGTAAGTCTCAGTTTCCTCATCTGTAAAAGAAGAGTAACATTCCCTTTTACAAATGGGTTGACCATAATCTCACTTGTTAAAAGTATTTCTATGTACTATAGGAATCCTGTCTTTAGTTATTTATAGTAGTTATTCTAATATTCATCATACGAATTATTCATCTTACTAGTTATTCATCACATATTACAAATATGCTATTATATTTTATAGTTATACTAGAGGCCCGGTGCATAAAATTCATGCATGGGTAGGGTTCCTAGGCCTGGCCAGCAATCAGGGATGATCAGGACCTTCCAGCTGGCCAGGGGCCTTCCTTCATTCTGCGTCACCCCCTGGTGGTCAGTGCAGGTCAGTGCAGGTCAATCAAACTCCTGGTCTTCTGGTCGAACTCCTGAGGGGACACTTTGTATTGTATATTAGCCTTTTATATATATAGATTTTCACAATAGATAAGGGCAGGGACTTAGTCTTACAGGTATTTACATTTTTCACAGTACTTAATAAGAGCTTGAAATTTTGTAATTTCTGAGTTAATGAATATGAGTATAACCTTTCTGAGATGTTCATAAATTCTATAAAAACCAGAATATAATAGTAACAGCTTAATCTTATATTATTACCTTATGAAGACCTTGGGAGATTCCCTCATCTCACCCCCCTCCCCCATCCCCCAGGCTTCCATACCAAAACTGAACTTCTCTTAAACAACTTATGCTAAGAACCTCAGAGCCTAATTTGTGGTGGCACCCCTCTAGCACAAAAGATTTTTTGGCATGATTTATTTATTTTGTATTAACATATCCCTGCCTTTATTTTGTTTTCCAATTACTTTAAAAAAAATATATACATATATATATATATTTTATTGACTTTTTACAGAGAGGAAGAGAGAGGGATAGAAGAGTTAGAAACAACGATGCGAGAGAAACATTGATCAGCTGCCTCTTGCACGCCCCCTACTGGGGATGTGCCCGCAACCAAGGTACATGACCTTGACCGAAATCGAACCCGGGACCTTTCAGTCTGGCTCTATCCACTGAGCCAAACCGGTTTCGGCTCCAATTACTTTTTGTGTCTATTTTCTCTTCTAATCATTTTCTTCTATTACAGTATCTCTATTTCTGAGTACATTTAATCTTTTGTGAGAGGTGGAGTATCAATAAATAATATACATTATAAAATACATAAAAGATAGTTGTTAAACCTTGTTAAAGCATCTTGTTTTTTAAAATCAAATTCAGAGAGCTGTCATCTACTTCAAGGCCACCAGGAGAGCACTTCTCCAATTTCCTATCCCACTTAAAAACTCATTCTCATCTTTAAGAGAGCAACATCTTACTTGTCCTTATAAAATACCAGAGGCCCAGTGCACGGATTCGTGCACCGGTGAGGTTCCTCAACCTGGCCTGTGGGGATCAGGCCGAAACTGGCTCTCCGACACCTCTGAGGGGTCCTGGATTGCGAGAGGGTGCAGGCCAGGCCAAGGGACCCCCCTGGGGCACAATTAGGGCCAGGGAGGGACCACAGGAGGGCTCCAGGGTGTGTCCAACTTGTCTTGCCCAGTCCCGTTTGGCTGGACCCCATCAGCAAGCTAACCTACCAGTAGAAGCGTCTGCCCCCTGGTGGTCAGTGTGAGTCATAGTGACTGATCAAATGGTGAAATGGTAGGACACTTAGCATATTAGGCTTTTATTATATAGGATATGTACCATGTAGAATACAGATAAGTAAAAAGCAAAGTAGCTAAAAAAACAAACAAAAAATACCATCTAGTAAGAATGGTATACACTGCTGCTTTCATAACCCACTTTTCTCTCTTAACAATGTATTTTACATTATCTTTCATTATCATTAAAGAGTTTATATCACAATTTGTGTGTGTGTGTGCTAATCCACACCAGAGGATATTTTTCCATTGATTTTTAGAGAGAGTGGAAAGGAGGGAGAGAGACAGAGAGAAACATTGATGTGAGAGAGACCCATTGATTGGTCTCCTCCTCTGTGTCCTGACCAGGGCCAAAGATCAAGCCGAAACCAGCGTGTGCCTTGGCTGGAATCAAACCCGGGACCCTTCAGTCCACAGACTGACACTCAATCCACTGAGCCAAACTATCTAGGGCTACATCACCATTTTTAATGGCTCAAAGCATCCCACTGATTCTGAATCAAGGCAGTCAATCAGACAGACTGCAACTCCACATTCTCTACTAGAAAATCAGAGAATGCTCTTATTTAAACCAATATGAGTGACCTCTTATCTGCAACCATGTTATCTCTGTCTAAGAAGTATGGGTGTAATATATTTAACTTATCTTTTGTTGGGAGACAAGCTGAATTGAACTCCACCCAGCTTAATGAGTACATGCAGTTTTGATTATTTCCTTTTGAGAATTTCCTAGAAGTATACTTACTTAGTCAAAGTATACTTCACATTTTAAGGATTTTGATACATAGTTCTAAAATGCCTGGAGGAGAGGAAAGATGTGCCAATTTCTATTCCCACCTGTAATACCTGTTTCACTGAACTCTTTTTAAAAAAAATATATTTTATTGATTTTTCACAGAGAGGAAGGGAGAGAGATAGAAATATCGATAAGAGAGAAACATCGACCAGCTGCCTCCTGCACACCCCTCACTGGGGATGTGCCCACAATCAATGTACATGCCCTTGACCGGAATTGAACCCGGGACCCTTCAGCTTACGCTCTATCCACTGAGCCAAACCGGTTTCGGCTTCACTGAACTCTTATCCAACACATATTATTTTCTTTCTAATCTTTGCCAATGTAATAGGCATCGGATATGCTACTTATATCACTAATGTGGCTGAACATACCTATTTATTGGCCATTTTATATGTACCTTTTGATATATACTTTCTATTTTTGTTACGTTTGTAAGTTTTTAAATGATTAACATCCATACTTACCTTGACATCTTCCTTCCCAGTTCTGCCTTCTATCAAAACTAACGAATATACTTGGCTTATGCACTTATCTCCTATTTCTTTAGGAATTCAATGTTATCCTCTTTCTTGCCAGCATCTGTAACTCTGACTACCAGTTTTTCCCCTCTCTCGCATTAAAAAACATCACCAAGTCTCTTCTTCTTAAAGAAAAGCCCCCAGTCTTTTTCTTTCACTTGCCGTTTTCCTCGGGCCACTGACCTTCCTCTTTTCCTTTTCAGCCCAACTTCTATATAGAACGAACTGTCTTCACATGGGGCACCCCCTTCATTTATCTCTTCAACTCACCACAGATTTACCTCAAGTGCTTCAGTGCCTTCTTTATTGCAAATATTTCAGTATCAGAATTATATTCTATATACATGTATGTGTGAAAAAAAAGCAGGATACAAAATGGGTTTTCCCCAATAAACTCAACTATGTAAAGAATATTCATGCAGAGAAAAAAAACTGATAAGCTGAAGCTGGTTTGGCTCAGTGGAAGAGTGTCGGTCTGGGGACTGAAGGGTCCCGGGTTCGATTCCAGTCAAGGGCATGTACATTGGTTGCGGGCACATCCCCAGTGGGGGGTGTGCAGGAGGCAGCTGGTCAATGTTTCTCTCTCATCGACATTTCTAACTCTCTATCCCTCTCAATTCCTCTCTGTGTAAAATCAATAAAATATATTAAAAAAAAAAAAAACCAAAAGAAAAAAAAAACTGATAAGTATCCCATGAAAATTTTATGTTACTTCTGGGTAGTTAATTTTTTTTTTTTTTTTTACTTTCGTTTTTCTTTAAAATTTTCCCCCATAACATTAAAAGCAAGAATAGCCAAAACCGGTTTGGCTCAGTGGATAGAGCGTCGGCCTGCGGAATGAAGGGTCCCAGGTTCGATTCCGGTCAAGGGCATGTACCTTGGTTGTGGGCACATCCCCAGTGGTGGGTGTGCAGGAGGCAGCTGGTTGATGTTTCTCTCTCATGATGTTTCTAACTTTCTATCCCTTTCCCTTCCTCTCTGTAAAAAAAAAAAAAAATTAATATATTAAAAAATAAAACAAGAATAATTTGGTTTGACATTAGACGACAATACAATATGAGTTAGAAATTCTCAACTTACGCTGAAACCGGTTTGGCTCAGCGGTAGAGCGTCGGTCTGCGGACTGAAAGGTCCCAGGTTCGATTCCGGGCAAGGGCATGTACATTGGTTGCGGGCACATCCCTGGTAGGGGGTGTGCAAGAGGCAGCTGGTCGATGTTTCTCTCTCATCGACGTTTCTAGCTCTCTAACTCTCTCCCTTCCTCTCTGTAAAAAATCAATAAAATATAAAAAAAAAAAGAAAAGAAATTCTCAACTTACATTTTCTGTAAGGAGGCAGAAAACGAGAAGTGACCGGAAGGAGCTACGGGCCCCCACACCTCCTTTCCCCGCGAGGCTCAGACTGGAGGGCGGGACCCACCCGCCACCTGCCACCCGCCACCCGCCACCCGGGCGGGACCCACCCAGATCCCAGCGGCGCTCCCGGGACTGGGCCGAACCCCCTCCGATCAGGACGCCCGCCTCTTAAAGGGCCTCACGCCCTCCCCGCTCACCCCAACGCTCTGAGCACCTCAGCCCGGCCCGCTCACTACGCCACTCTGGGAGTAACCATCAAGCGCCTCCGGTTGCCCGGGTAACAGTCAGCGGACGCCAACATGTTTCTCCAGACTCTACCCAGAATGCTGCGCGCCCTCTCCCATTCACTTCCGGCTCGGAGGGCTAACTCCTCCGGAAGTAGATGCCGGTGATTCCCCGCCTGGTATTCATCTGCGTCCTTTCTCAGCTTTCGAGATGATGGGAATGCCGAGGGAAGGCTATAATCTCACCGAATTTTTGTTGGACTAATAAGTGGGTTATCTGTTAATAATGACATTGCAAATCATTTTTATTTTTTAAATTTATTGAATTTTCACAGAGAGGAAGGAAGAGGGATAGAGACTTAGAAAAATCGATGAGAGACAAACATTGATCAGCTGCCTCCTGCACTTGTGGGGACTCAACCCAGAGGGGTAGCGGCGAAGCCCATAGCTTCCCCGGTGCCCTCGGCAAAGCTGATGACCCGCCCCGCGCCCCTCCCAGGCCCCGCTCATCCCCGCCCAGACCCCTCCCCGCGCCCCAGGCCCCTCCCAGCCCTGCCCAGGCCCCGCCCCTGCCCCGCTTCGAGTCCCGCCCAGTCCCTGTCCCGCGTCCCGCCCTCCCGGGGAGGGAGGGCCTGGCGTTGCGTCTGGCGCGCGGGGCGTGGCTCTCTTTGCCGGCCTCAGCCCGGGCGCCGGAGGCGGGAGGGAGCGGCGCGGGTCCGCGGATGGCATGGCAGGGGCTCCGGGCGCGGCGGGCCCAGCCTCCCCGGAGCAGCCGGCTCCGGAGCAGCCCCCGCCGGGCGGCCTCGGGAACGAGCAGAAGTGCCAGCTCATGCTGCTGCGGACGCTGCAGACCAGTAGGAGCTGACCCGGGGCTGGGGCCGCGGGCGGCGCAGACCAGGCGGGCGGGAGGGCCGGGCGCCCGGGCTCCGGGGCTCCGGGCCGGGTCCGAGGCAGGTCTGCGGAGAGACCAGCTGAGTCGGCATTACGGGGAGGCAGTGGGGGGCCCGGGCCTGTTCCCTTATCCAGGGAGGCCCTATTCCTTGCCTGTGGAATGAATGGGGAAGCGGGTTAGGAGTTTGCTCTTTTCTGTCACCCTCCCTGGTCTGACAGATAACCTGGTTTTGTGTAAGATATGCAGCAATATGTGAACTTAAGGTCTTGGTGAAGCAGAGTGGTTTTAAAAAAAAAAATATTTTTTATTGTTGATAAGGTGAAGCGGAGTTTTGAAGAGCCACGTTAGTTAAGGCATACATACTGCTGGCAGTGCAAAAACGACAGTTTTACAAACCTACCCTTCGTTGGAAGGGGCCTGTAGCCTTCCTACATGGACGGGCTGCAGAGTGTAGAAACCCCAGAGATGGACTGGGAAATTGTGTGTGCACGCACCTAAGTGCATTTTCTGGAGGGAGAGCTTATAGCTTCATTATATGCTCAAGACGCCCACGACCCGAAACGGTTAAGAGACACTGCTGTGGGTTCAGTAAGGACACAACTGCCTGCCGACCAGTGCCTCTTCCCAGGGGCCTTGCACTTATTTACGTTGACAAGTTGACTTCAGACACATTTAGAAATGAGTCTCAAACGTACTTGTCCTAAAGCAAGGTTACTGATCCATAGTTGGCCAGTCACAGTTCAAAAGTCAGCCTCCTGGTTCTGTTTGAGCATCATCCCGCTACACCAGAGCCGTGGTTCGATCCCAGGTCGGGGCACATACAAGAAATAACGGATGAATGCATACATAAGTGGAACAGCAAATCAATGTTTCTCTCTCTTTCTCAAATCAACAATAATAAAAAACCCAACCACCCCAAAGTTTTCCAATGAGTTTACCAGCAAATAGGGAATCAAGGGAGGTGGGTGGAGGAAGGGGAGAAGAGGGAATAATGACATTGTATTTACAGTGTGTATTGGATACCTCCTAGTTCCTGGTGTGGGAAAATAAAATGCCAAGATGATTAAAGACCTACCTTGCTTTTAAGATGTTTCAGTGGAACACAGTGGGAAGAACATGGGATGCAGATTAGACCTTGGTTCAGGTTCTGGTCCCTCTCCATTAGATGTAGAAGAGTGATTTAACTCTCCGATCCCCTCTCTTCCTATCTGCAAGGAAGAAAGGGGAGGGGCAGAGAGGGCTGAAAATACCTCTTTTAGGGTTGTGAGGAGTAGGTTTTATGAATGAAAAGTGCCAGCGTATCAGGAGCTGAATAAAGGGTGGATGTTCTTGCAGTGGAAGAGCCAGACGGGGGAGGCAGAAGTTGAGATGGGATGTGAGGTGCTGGACGTGAACCCTGTGGGAATGAGCAGGCCTCGGCCTTCCCCAGGGAGGGCTCCCGGAGAACCTGTCGGTGGTATGAAAGCTTCAGCCTGCAGCTTTGAAATTCTGTAGCTGAGGCTGGGGTGACACCAGGAGAAACCAAGCCCCATGCGAGACTTGTTTTTTTTTTCTTCAAAGCAAGTTGTGTGACCCTTCAGTCCTCAGGCTGATGCTCTGACCACTGAGCAACTGGCTAGGGCAGCTCTCAGTTTTTTCTTTTTTTTTTTTTTAATAAATTTTTATTGTTCATATTATTACAAATGTTCCTCCCCCCCCCCTGCCCCCCTCCATTGCTCTCCTCCACCAGATTCCCATCCCACTCTCTGCCCTTTCCCCACTCCCCATTGTCCTCATCCATAGGTGCACAGTTTATGTTTAGTCTCTTCCCACATCCCCCTCTCCCCTTTTCCCGAGAATCATCAGTTCACTCCCCTTCCATACCTCTGATTCTATTATATTCACCAGTTAATATTGTTCATCAGATTTTTTTTTTAATTTCCTTGGTTTTTAGATTCACTTGTTGATAGTTACGTATTTGTTCATAATTTTTATCTTTATATACTTTCTTTTCCGAAAGAACCCCCTTCAGCAATTCATATATTGTAATTCTGGTTTGGTGGTGATGAACTCCTTTAGCTTTTTTTTATTAGTGAAGCTCTTTATCTGGCCTTCAATTCTGAGTGATAGCTTTGCTGGGTAGATTATCTTTGGCTGTAGGTTCTTACTATTCATCACCTTAAATATTTCTTGCCATTCCCGTCTGGCCTGCATGGTTTCTGTTGAGAAATCAGCTGACAATCGTATAGGTGGTCCTTTATAGGTAACTACCTGCTTTGTTCTTGCTGCTTTTAATATTCTCTCTCTCTCTCTCTCTTTTTTTTTAAATATTCTTTTTAAAAAAAATATATTTAATTGATTTTTTACAGAGAGGAAGGGAGAGAGATAGAGAGCTAGAAACGTTGATGAGAGAGAAACATCAACCAGCTGCCTCTTGCACACCCCCTACCAGGGATGTGCCCTCCACCAACGTATTAGGTCTAGTAATAATTAATGTCGTTTTCTAATGCCTTTTTAAAATCGAATTTATTTAAACAATACAACAAAATTTAATCAACAATATAGTTGCTGTTGTTTTCTACTACTTGTGCCCAATGCTCAGGAAGCATTTTAGTCCCTCTGTTGTAAAATTCTTGTGATTTTGATGCAAAAAATTCGGTCAATGCATTTTTGAGGCATTCTTCATTATTAAATTTTTTTCCAAGAAGAAAGTTTTGCAAAGAACGAAACAAATGGTAATCGGAAGGGGCAATATCAGGAGAATATGCAGGTTGAGGGAGAACTTCCCATTCCAACTGGTGCAGTTTTTCAGCAGTGATTCTTGCAGTATGCGGTCGTGCGTTATCATGGTGAAGAATTACGCCCTTCTGATTAATCAGCGCGGGTTCTTTTTCTCTTAAAGCTTGGGCTAACCTTTCCAATTGGGCACTATACACTGCACTTGTAATGGTTTGGTTAGATGGTAAAAGTTCATAATGAAGAATCCCTTTAAAATTCCACCAAACACACAACATCACTTTTTTCGCATGCAAGTCAGGTTTTGGCGTGGGCTGCGGAGCCTCATTTTTGTCCAACCATTGAGG